TTGGCCTTAATTCAATTACTGATGTTTATTAAATATCAGTCTATTTCCACATCAAGTGTTTCTCCTTCTGCGGCTTCCCTCACCCAACCAACTTCTTCATCACGGAGCATTATGTTTTCTTCTAATTGTTGGCTCATATATGGCACGATTTCTAGATCAGTCGAAATCATATCAAATCATATCAAATAAACCTCTTTGAGACATCTTCACCACTACTTGCTAGTTTGGTTCTAACGGGTTTGCAACATACCAAACTTGCTCTGCTTGGGATGCCAAGATGAAAGGTTCATTGGTAATTCGATCATCTCGGTACAACAAATGATTGAAGTTGACCAACGTGAAATTGAAAACATCTTGTATCTTCCCGTGAATGTTGTCAATCCAATCACACTTAAACAACACATGCTTCTTCTCACTGGAATATCGAATCTCAACAATATTTGTCAATTGTCCATAATAGTACACAGACCCCACACGAGGATTCTTGTCTTTCCAACTAGCATAACTTATGGTATCTGTCTTCAAAGCTATACCACAATTTTGTGTGGCTCGATGGTCATCTATGGCCTTTACTCGATACTGAAACCCATTCATTATATACCCGTTGAACCTCCTTGCCCTGTTATGAGGACCATTTGCCAATACAATAATCTCTTTAGAAAATGTGACATCACTAGTCCTTCGCAAAGTTTGAACCTATTTAAAAAAAAAAATTGTAAAATTTAAAATGTAGTTCGACTTAGGTAAATAGAATCTGTAGATTTAAATACATACATGTTCCTTGAACCAAATGTGAAAAGTTTCAAAATGTTCACGCCGAAGCTGATGATCGTCAACACGAGGCATTTTTGACCTTAAGTACTTCAAGGTGTTTGCTGTGTAGATTGAAATTTGATTAAAAAAAAAAAAAAAAAAAAATTGGTTCAAAATTCAATGAAAAATAATAAAATATTGAGTGAGTGACATAACTTACTTTATGAATGGTTGAACCGCGCTTGTATTGAATAAGACATACCGATGAGTTTGTACCCAAAAGTATTATCAAGATAAAAACTTGTGCTTTCACCAACAGCACGACCCAGATTATTATCACCACTGTAGTTCCTCACGGGTCGATTAGATTTGGTTTCCACATCATTGTGATATTGTGCACAAAAATTCATGCATTCTTCCATAAGATATCCTTTAGCAATTGAACCTTCTGGATGAGCTCTATTACGCACATATTGCTTCAAAGTAAGAAGATACCTCTCAATTGGATACATCCATCGAAACTGAATCGCTCCACCCAATAA